CATGCCGATGTTGCGCCACGGGTTTTCACACTCGTGAGGGTGCATGTCTGCGAACTCCTCAGGCCCAGATCGAATCCAACCTCGGACATGCATCAGCAACTTCATTGACCTTAGCCTTCAAATGTTGCTAGGTCTGCAACTCTTGTGGCAGTAGCAGAAACAAGTAGCTGTACCCACGGGTGCCGCCCGTGCACACGACATGAACAGCATAAGCACAGTCAAGACCCAGCCCTAGCCCCCTTCGGTTGATCACATTGATGCATTCTACCATCCAGTGCTTCAACGAAGGGGCTGTTTGGCATCCTCTTCACAGCCTCGGCAAGGATCACACTCTCCAAGCGAACACACCACATCCTGCCACGTAATTCCGCAGTGCTGAGACCAGCAGCCACCGAGTGCCGATTCTTCCCTTCACTTTCCATCATATCCTCGAATAGTCAAGCCACGGACTAAAAGAGGGAGCCGCGTAGCTGGTAACATCTGCCCCTAGCGCTGCTGAGGAACCACGCGGCCATGGTTGCGGGCAGCCTCTTCTAGCTTCTTCACAAAGCGAAAACTGCCTGACCTTTGCGACGCAAAGAAGATGGCTGAAGCATATCTTAACACAAGGCATCAGCTGGGCATGGCAAGGTCGATCGCATTCTGAGGATCAGTCTTCCAGGGCCCCATGGTCGAAGCAATAGTTTGCATGGACTCGGACAAGTCATCGGCCGAAATCTCCTGCAGCAAGTCAAGCTCGGCAACGAAAGCCTACGACCAAGTCGCGCAGCTTGGCAGCACGCCTCCAGCACACCACATGCACCTCCAAAGCTTTCACAAACCGGCTCACAACTCCGAACATGCAATGACAAGAGGCCTTGTGCCATGGCAGAGCAAAACTCCGACTTGGAGAGTCCACTAGGATGCGAGAGCCCCCTGTGCCCTGAGTCTCGGGTGTCGTAAATACGGAAGCCTGCCCCGTCATGCTTCTCTCTGTCTTCCCTACTCAGATCTCGTGACTACAAGGCCAGTTTGCTGTCGAGTCGAGCCGGCAAAGTAGGCGAGTAGACTCACATGTCCAACCTGCTTTGCTTTGCTTTGCTTCGGTGGGTGAGGGGCTTGGACATGCTCTTTCCTTCTTCACCAGGAGCAACCCCCTTCACCGTGCTCGGGGCGCGGTAGGAGGATGTATCAGCTCACAGAAATGAACCAGGACGATATGGGGATCAGGTCGGGAGAAACGGATCAGGAAACCCACGAAAAGGATCGTGAGGTGCCTGGTCGGAGCTCTGTATCGGCTCAGCTGTTGGATGAGTCCTGTTGTATGTCGCGATTTCCTCGGTCTTGGATGAGTACTGAGCTATGTCACGGTTCCCTTGGTCTTGGATCGGTCCTGGTGTTTTTATGTCACGCTCTCCTTGAGACTTGGATAAAGTTCTGCTGTATGTCACGCCCTCCTCGGTCTTGCGTCCTGGCGTGTATGTCACGAGCACAATGCTCAGCAGTTTTGTAGTAAGAAGCCGCAGCAGCCCGGGGAGCAGCAAAGCGGGAAGCATCGGCTGCATGGCTTTATATGTGAGGTTTTGTATGAAGTGCAAGACGTGGAGAGCAAGAAGTCTGAACACGATGCTTGTGAGCCGATTGGTCTAGGCTTTGTTCCCCGGACCTTAGATTTTGTGTGCCTGATCTGAGAGGTCACATGATTCGGACCCTGCGGCACCTGATGCCTGCAGCTTCACTCGGGGCGCCTGGACATGCCCGCTCTTCTTCCACACAGCCAAGACAGCAGAGAGGACGCACTGCCCCCGCGCTCGCTCTCTCCCTCTTCTTCTTTTTCGGGGCGTAGGGAGCTGTCCAGGCTCCCCGCACCGAATGGCGCACCCCATCTTGGGGCTCTTTAGGGGCACTGCCAGTCGGTAAAGATATGGAGCTCTCTCTCTCTCTCTCTCTCTGCTCTCCAACAGCAGTGTCATCCTGAAATGTCTTTGTAATGCAGCGGTCTCAAACACTTTTTTGCGCTTTCACTCTTTGGTGTTGGCTCGTTCCAGACTTCCGCTTGCCTCACGCACACTAGCGGACTGTAGCACCATTGTGTGAAGAGCTTCGCCTGCATTAACTCGAAAGCTGAACCTGGGAGGTGCCGCCGTCTTGAAGGCCTCTTCCTGGCACACATACACATTCACACACACACACACACACACACGCGTGCGCGCTCATTGTCCATCCGTTGGTTGGCATCAAGCAAGCAGACGCAAGCCGTCTCACCCTCGTCCCGCCTTCTTGCGCACGCCGAAGACGCTCGGCTAGGACAGCCTCCTGCCGACGGTTGAAGTCCTGGCGATCAGCCGCCTGCCGAATACCTGAAGACCTCATAGCCCATGTCACGACTGCAGATGCACCTGAATGGCAGGGTAGAAGATGTAGTAGCCACCCCCTACTCCAACAGCACAAGTCGCCAGCAGCTCCTCCAGGCAGAACTTTCACACGTAGCAAGTGTGCCAGACGGCGCTGGGCCAGGGACCGGAATCGTAATTCCATGAAATAAGGCCCGCCAGGACATTGGCTGTGCCTATCTTGTCTATGACCACAGCAGCTGCAAAGAGCACTTTCTGGATGAGCTGCCTGCAGCCCCAGCGCTTGCCAGAGATGCTTCAACGGCAAAGACATTGATTTTTCGGCATGGCGCCTGAAGGCTTTCTTTGCCTTTGAAGGCTTGGCGGTCATTGTTGCTGCAACGTGCAAGTGACGCAGTGACACCAAGAGGCATGACACAAGCTCTCTTGCATGCTCGCAAGTGGTACCACCCAGCTGCGTAGCATCTAGACGCTCCCTATAGCGCCTCACGAAAGCACACGTTGTTCTTCAATGTTGACTGTGCCTGTCACATAGATTGTAATACGTTCTCGCAGGCGCTTTCTGTCAGATGACAGCCGCATCAAAACCGAATGCAAAATCCAAAGAAACAGCAGAAACGGCATTGGGCGTGTTCTGAGAGCCCAAAATTGAGTCTTCCCCCATTCAGTCCTCTCTCCAAGCTTAGGAGGGAGGGTGCCACGATGACACTCGGAATGGGCAGGATCAACGTTCAGCATTTATCCCAAGCTTTGAAACGAGAGAGCAGGCTTCTATCTGCTACCAGAAGCATAAAAAGTTGAAGTATGGCATGCTGTTGCTGAGCGTAGGGGGCAGCTGCCTCCTTGGCACAGTGCATGTGAGATGTGGGTGCAGGCTTCGGACCTCCAATCAAAGCTTAGGCTTAGACGAGCAGCTGTGGCAAGCAGGTAAGGGGGGTAAGGGTAAATTGGCAGGTAAGGACTGCACACACATGACTTTGCGAATTGGCGGTCAGCATCCTTCGAGGAATGCTGCTTGATCGGTTGATCCGCCAGCTACACAGCAGCTGCCGCTGAGCAAGCAGGCTCACTTTCGACTGGGTGTTTGCCTCTCTGCATGACATGCATGTCGCCGGAAACTCCGGGACAGCTTTGCTGCTCGTTTCTTCTTTTCTTACAAGGACCCTATACCTTGCTTCCAAAGTAGTGGGTCCGATGGACTAGTATCGGGCAAAGGCTCACCATCATCAACATGCCGTCAATCTTGGCAAAATGTGACGACAAGCTGGCTCAGTCGGCAGCGGCACAGCATGGCATTGCACATCTGCTTCAATCCAGCACGATATGCAGGATGAAAAACGGCACAACGGGTCTGAGGTAAAGAGTGGCAAAGCATACCCGGTGTACCCAAATAACCGCTGCAAACCCGCAAGACACCGTGCCTTAGCCGCGATGCACCTTATGTTTGCTCAAACTGACTCGTGTAGCGAGACATCTCCACGGCCTCAACACCCCCAGACACAAAGCTGAATCACGTGGAGCATTCACTGATTCCAAAAAATCGAAATGTTGCACCTGTAGAGCCATGCAGCCCATGGTGGAATTTGGCGGAGTCCGTTCACTTTCCGCTGCTGCCGGATGCATTCCCGACAATGGCGAAGCAGAGGCCAAACACACGGTTCTAGAGCCGCGTGAAGAATGTTGTCTGCTTTCCGCCTCTGGGCGTACTCCAGACAGAAGCAACGGACTGTTTCACAAGGGCCGAGATGTGATAGAAAGTCAACGCATCTTCATGGCTGCAAACGTGATCTGGGTTCTGGCTTGGATTGGATTGGTACAGCTCAGCAGCTCCAAGTCCTCTGGCCCTAGAAGCTTGCAGGCATCCAACAACACGAGCACACTTGGCACTGCCTCTCAGCCAGCGGGGACTTTGGAGAAAAGCAGGTGCTGTGCGCAAGTGCAAGGCAGCTGAACAGGGTGTGCTACGAAACGCAAACAACCGCTGGGATTTGCATGCGAGTCGGAGATGAGATCATAACTCATTGGGGGTTTGGGTTCAGCCGCGGCAAACATGAATGACCCACTCCTCTCTCATTATGCAAGGACCTGTTTCGGTCATGCGCTATCCGATCCTAGGCAGGCCTACCTGTCACACAACAGCGCGTGCCCTGGATATGGTTGCAGGGTCTCACTGCACTGCCCGGACTTTGTAGTCAGCTAACCGCTTTCCAGGATGGGGGAAAGTTACGGGCAGCCGTGGCCTGGCTTATAATTTCCGCTCTTGGAGATTTGCCGATTGAAACCTCAAAGGTGTTTGTCAGCAAGCCCGAACAACAACTCTGTCCAAGCTGAGCTCGGGAGTCTCGCCAACTTCTGCTGCACAGAGTCATCAGACGACTACCAGACTACTCCTGTGTCAGTAGCTGTCAGTAACTAGTATGCACCTGGATGGTAAAATCAGCCAGAGGCTGCACGAAGTGGTGCAGAAGGGGGTGAGCAGCTTAACATAGACAATCACACTTCAGCACATACACTCGCATCATCTCGCATCGGAGAGTGTGACGGTGTCAGGGCAAAGGCAGACTCACAAGCGGAGCCGCCAGCCTTCCCGAGACACTTCATCGCGACCCGACGCAGCACAAGCTGAGACACCGAGACTCCGGCTCAGCGAACTGCCCCAGTTCTACTTCATGGCCGGGGCCTTGGCAGCCAAAAAAAAGTTTCGGTCTTGTGCACGTGCTCACGTGCTCTCTCCGAAGCTTCCGGCCTGCTGCGCACCTGGCCAGACACACTGACACACTCGAATGATGGAACTCTTGAATGCTTTGCCAAGACCTCGAGATTTCGATGTTAGTCGCCTGCTGCAGAACCCTCTCTCCCCAAGCCTTGCAGAACTTCTTCCGTGCCTGTGCACGAGTATGTATACAAATGGTATATACAGGAAACGCATGCTCCAGATCTGTACTTTCGACTTCCTGGGAGTTGACAGAGAGCACTGCCTGGAACCAAAGGCGGCGTGAGGCTGCCGATGCTACCTGTCTTCCACGTCCAGGTGAAAAGACCGGCCCGTCTGCGTTTATCGCAGAGATGCACACCGGCGCCACAAGCAGAGTTGGCCTTCTTACGCACGGACATGGTCAGGTACTGCCGGTGCCAGGGCCTCCGGCAAGAGCCAGCTTCCCTATGCGGGTGGCCAATGCTCTTCGTGTAGGTCTCTGAGAGCTTCGGCAGGGCTGGCTCTTTCCCTGCTCGAGCCAGCAAAGTCGCCTCATGTCACAAAGCTGTTGAGACTTTGATGGCTTGTCCCGGCTTGCGGGAAAGTAGGGCCTTGCTGCTCCTGCAACGGAGACTGCGACTGCTGCGGGTGCGCTTCCGACCTTGCAAGACCGGCAGCGACAGCATTTAGAAACCAGAATCACTCCAAAAAACTGCAACTGTTGGGAACTGCAAGGCTTGAAGATGGACCACCGGGTTCACCGGACCAACTTCTGTACTCGGGCACTGAGCATTCGACTTGGACTTACCACCGCAGCTGGCTCTTGCGCCCGCGGCTCTGGCTGCCCCACGCCGTCACTGGATGCCTCGTGTGGGACTTGCGGGCGGCAGGAGCATCTTCTGTCTCTGAGTGTTTCTCGGTCCCTTGCGCCATCCGTTGGGGTCCCTACGGGCGCTTCGGCTTCGGTCCTTGGTGTCTCCACATTTGACCCGCGTAACCGGAAGCTTTGATCTCGGAGTAGGGCATGCTGGAGCCCACATGGTCCGTCCCTGAGGCCGAGGATGGAGGTGCAGAATGCTGCAGTGATGTTCAGCACCCTCAACCCTCTGCATGCGTCTGAAAGGGCGCCTGCATCCTCAACCTGCACGGGACGCGATGGCTGCGCGGATCGCACATTTGGTGCTCAACAGAAACAGCAGCATCAGCACGAGCAAAGCTGCTGACAGTGTCAGTAGAAACCACCTCCACTGTTCCCTCTACCTGATGCTTCAGCAGGCAGCATGTGAGAAGCAACAGCTTGGGTCTCTCCACCACGCTGAGGCTGCAGGCTGCTGCGAAAGACCCACCCAATGCTGAAGTGTCGTCTGCTCGCGCTTCCAGCTGCAATCCTCTATGTACCAGGGTTTGTTTAATTAGGCTCTGTCTGCGATGACAAGGCCCGGTCCCCATGTCTTCGAGTAGCTGTAGCACGCATCCACCTGCGATGCGCCGTCGCAGAAGTTTCCTGGAAGTTCCCAAGAGCCGAGAGCTGAACCCAGCTCGGATGTCCGCAAAGCCCTGCACGGCGCGCAGAGAGGGAAAGTTTGGCCGGGCCACAACCAGTGACAAACCAGGACAGGCTGCAGTTTTCGACTGCTTGGGCCTTCGAAAACTTGCGAGCACAAGTCCAGCTCCCGCGCGAGCTGGTCGACCTCGAGACGAGAAGAGCAAGGAGGTGTTGAGGGATGTTGAAGGGCCAGTCCAAGGCGTGGACCCCCGGCTGCTCCAAGAATTTGACGCATTTGACGCAGGCCTCCACATCCTGGAGCTGCGACGCCCTTCCACATGTAGCCCCCACGGCACTCACGTTCCCCATGTTCCCTCCTGGCCCGCAATCATCGCCGCCACTCGCCTGAGCGAAAGCGGCGAACCCCGGAGGCCCGGCTCCTCCCCTCGCGGCCCGGCCGCGGCCCTCGCGAATGCGAATGGCGCGAGCGCTTCTGGTTTATGTGGGCTGTGCTGGACAGTTCTGCAGACGGATGTCTCGCTGCAAGGCATCGCCAAGCAGCAGAACAGCAACCGCAATAGAAAGAAGGAGAGAAGCACAAGAAGCCAAGAGCGCGAATCAAGCTGGACGAGCAAGCTAGGCTGGAGAATTGCAGCTGAAACCAAGGGAGTGGTCCCCTTCAGTCCCGTCGCCGTTTCCGGCCCTAACCCTTCTGAAGCGAACAAGAGCCAAGGATTATGGGAGAGTCGCTCTCGTGATGCTCTTACCGACTCTTACCCCTTGGCTCCGAGTGGCTCCTGCCAGCCATCACCGATCGAGATCAGGCAGCTTGGGCCTGTTTTGCCACTGGCATCGAACCTTGGGGAGCCAGAAGCTGAAAGGAAGCTCCGAAAAGATTGGGCTATTGCGCTGACCAGGACTTGCCTGCAAAGCACATCCTGCAAGGCAAGAACGCTGTCACGTAAAAACCGATCCGCGTGAAGGAGCATTCGGGGACAGAAACAACGGAAACTGCTGAACGGTGGCAGATGCTTCTCGCTGGAAAGGTCAGGGGCCGATAGCATATACACATTAAAGGTTGAATGGCTGGATGTCCTAGGGCCTAGCAAGCACGTAGACCCTGCGCACATACGGTGCAAGACACATCACACCAAGATACCCACAACTTAAACAAACTTAGAGTCTTTGAGGTGTTTGTCTTGAAAGCCTTGCGCCTGCGGAGGGCTTACAGCTGCTTTAATGCATGAAGGGTTGCGGTGATGCCAAGTATATTCACCAAATCCTATGCCATGTACGGCTCGTAAGGAAGGACCTGTCATCAGAACAGTAACAACGACATAACTGGCCCGCCACCTGGCTAGTACAAGGAAAGGATACTGTCTCTGGGGCTGGTGGCGTGAAGCAGTCCACGATGCGGCGAAAGCACAGGACCTCCATCGGGCACACGAGTCGATTTGGATCCAGTCATATGAACATAGGACGGAAATACACAACTATTTCTACATACATATATATATATATATACATATGAGTGTTGATCAATATTCCTGTTTGTGCAAATGGTTTCTTTGCGGATTATTGTTTTCCTTTCGCGCGACTTTCGCCTTCACTTTCGCGGGACATGTTTGTAGTTGTAGTGGTAGTCGTCGTCGTCGTCGTCGTGGAAGTGGTAGTGGTAGTGGTAGTGGTAGTGGTAGTGGTCGTGGTCGTGGTCGTGGTCGTGGTCGTGGTCGTGGTCGTGGTCGTGGTCGTGGTCGTGGTCGTGGTCGTAGTAG